AAAGTTGATTGAATTATATCATTGCATTTAGACGGTTTAAACACGATTTGTGAAAATTTTCGAACTTTCATTATAACTCACTCTAAAATAATAATTATAAATTTTTATTTGTAATTATTCAAAGTATATCTCTTCGAAAAAATATTTGCAATGGTTGTAGCTTTAGGAAACTCTTGAAAGTTTTCCTATGAAATGAAATGACCTTGGTAGAAGTTTTTTTAATATCCTAAATAAGATTGAACTACTCTTTCTTTAACTTCATTTTTAATTTTAGAACAAAAAATATAATGCCAAATCTGATGAATATGGAAAATAATTAAGAACTGATTTGAAAGCAAGCACTTGTGAATCGGAGTATGGGAGCGACTCATCTTTCTCGCTTTTCTCACTTTTTTAGAAACCTCTCTTTTTCTTACTTTTCTACAAAAACTCACTTTTCTCACTTTTTTGTATAGGCACATTACTGTTCATAAATTCCGGAACGTTTGTAATTGTCTTGCATTTTACAAAAACTTAAATATCTCGATAAAAAAAAGAGAGAAATTTTGGAGAAATTTTAAAAAATACAATGTAAAGGCAAAAACACCATTCAAAATGATGTTCGAATTTTGTATTTGCGATATTTTTTTCCTGAATTATATGAAATTGAAAATTGATTTTAATATTTTTTATTATTTATTGAAGCGCTGCATGAAACTTCGTCGGATAAAATTTAACAAATAAGCATTTTAAAGTAGACTTTTTAAGTTTTTTAATGAAAAAAATTGATATGATTTTTTGCATAGATATTGAATTTTTATTCCATAAAATTTTATTGTGTAAAAATTTACTTTTTCTAAAATGTTTTTAATTTCGATACTAAAAGTTTGTGAAAAAAAATAAAAAGATATAAAAAAACGCTTGTATTTTGCAAAGCAAGTATAATAAAGTAACAAAATAATTTATAATCGAGCAATTTGAGGTTATTAACAATGTATTAAGAATTTATTATACGAAGAACATATAATATTGATATATAAAATTGAATTCAGAACATACAGATCCTTTTTAGTAATGATATGAAAAAAATGGTTGACATTACTCAAATGATTAACATTACTCAAATGATTAACATTACGTATATAGTTCGTTGCAATGGAACATTTCAAATGATTGTAAACGAAGCGATATGTCCTTAAACCTTGAACTCCTGTTTTCAATGTGAGCAATTCAATGAATTCATCATTTTGGATAATGTTTGTCAATATTCAGTGTTGGAAAGTGAATCTGAAATTGAAGTCCCGATTATATTTTATATGAAAATACAGATCATAAAATAAAATAAAAAGAGAAAAAATGTTTATTACAATACAATATGATTGATTCATATAATTTTATCAAATTTTTATAAAAACTGTTTCAAACGTTAATTTTATAAAAATTGTTAACGATCGAGAAAAAATGTTTAAAGCTCTATTTTTTGTCTTTTAAATGTATTTTTGGAAACTTCTACGATTTTTTTCACCGAGATATTTAAGTTTCTGTAAATTGTAAGAAAATTGCAAATACTTTTATATTTCTGAATTTATGAACGTAATATTATATATCAATACTAAAATTAAAAAAAATAAAAAAGGATATAGCACAGATATGTACATGAAAAGAGCTCTTATACCAATTTAGACTTAACGTACGTCGATTGTTAGACTTTTATGAAAGAAAAGTTTTCACCCCTTAATTTTAGATAGTATTGCGATAATGATAATCAAAAACATTTTTTATCGTAATTTTTTTTCTAATCCACGAAAAATTATAAAAATATCAGATGTTTCAGTCATCAAGAAACATTTTTAATAATTCACTAAGTTTATTAGTTAATTGTCAATGTTTAAATGAAAATCAAGTGATTTTATGTTTTTTTTTGTGATAATATCTTTCCAACATTATTTACTTCAAATTATTGGGAGCGCATAGTGTAATAATACACATCCACTCACATCGGCCAGTGCTTAATAATTTTTCATTGTTTTATTAATGAGAAATATTTTATTTCAAATTGGCCAATTAGTGATGTGAAACCTTTCCAAATTATTTTAAACTTTTGAAATAAACGTTAATAAGAAAAAATTGAAAATATGAAAGTTTTCGCACAAAAGTTTTTGCACAAAAGTACATTATTTATTTACACTTTTTATAATTGACAGTTATAAACTTCTAATTTTTTAAAAATTAGAATTTCTATTTTATAAATCTGTAAAAAATACTAGGAATATTTTCCGGTATTTTTTATTGTCAACTTTTAATACCAGAACATCGCTTCTTTATAATTTTTCGTGAATTATAAAAATAGGAAAAAATTATTATACAAAATTTGTTTTATTATCATTGTTGCAATTGTAAAAATAAGAAGTAAAAATTTTTTTTTCATAATTTAACAATCGATATATATCAAGTCTAATTTTGTACAGAGGCAGTTTTTATATACATATCTTGCTACATATTTTATTGATTTTATTTCTAAAATTTAATTTTTTGAGAAGATACTGAAAAAAATCTTCAAATTTTCTAGAAATACTTATTTTTTAATCTTAAGAAAGTTTATCTTTTTTTTATCAATTCTATTTTCACAGTGGGGCAATGTCTAATGCTGCCCCAATTTGTTAATTCTTTGCGAATAGAATTGGTTCAACTGTGCAAAATAGGCATTCATCTCTCTGATTTTCCACGAATTTTTCAAATCATCCTGTGTATGTCTATGCCGTAATCTCGCAAACACAATAGAGTAGTAAGCCTTAAGTCTTAAGGAATTGACCAATCATCGATTATTCTTTTCACATTCGACTGTAATTGATTAATTTTCTAAGGTTTAACGCTTACTACTTTATTGTGTTTGCAGACTAAAGCGTCTCTGAAATGGCAACATTGCAGCTGGTTACCGTATATTGTGCGTAAGCGCTAAGTCGTATTTATGTAGATAAATGCTGTATGAAGAAAGTTTCGGAAATTTTTGGTATAAACATACGTATTATATAAAGCAGCCTTTAATGTGTACTAATCCAGTAGTGGTTAATCCAATGCTCAAATAATCGTGAATTCACTTTTAAACAGATTCTCTTGTTTCTTGATGTAAAGAAAGCGTGACTGGTGTTATTGTTTTACCCAGATAGAGATAATTCGCCTGTGACTAAACAGAACTCATTTCTTATTTCGCTGAAAAACCTAATTCCAATGTTGATTCCAGCTAAACTCAAACGCTCATCTACTCGTGTCACGATTTCATGATCGTCGCGTACCATCCACAACCCGTTTCCCGCTTAACATTGGCAATTAAGCCGATCAAAATTCGTTATAATCGTACTGCACTCGGTGTACGTTTTTGGCGACGTTAATTACATGCCAGGTGGTTGTCGAGAATTAGAGAGACAGAAGAGAAGAGTCTTTATTTAATGCGCCAACTCCGCGAGAATCCTCTTTGTGGCTCGCGAATGAAAATAACTGCTCGCGCAGATATGTATACTTGAGTATACATATCCGCGAGCCGGACACCGACATTGAACTGGTTTAGGAAAATGTATGTATTTATATATGTATGTAAGTATATAAGCTGTTTAATAATAGGCGATCATTTTGTGATAATATTGCTCGTGAAAAAAAC